GCGAGGATGCCACACATGGCGGCGGCCGGACGGCGGGACCTGCGCACCGGCGAGCTCCGAAGGTGATTTGACTAATCGCGAGCTCCGAAGGTGATTTGACTAATCACCGGCGATGCCCCGACTAGTACGGACGGGCGACGGCGACGGCGCCGGCGGCGACGCAGGCGCAGGTGGTGGTGGGGGGTCAGGTACGGCGTTCTACGGCGGCACGGTGGTGGTAGAGCAGCAGGGAGGGGGCTAGGAGAGATGCGCGTTTGGGGTTCGTAGCGGGCCAGGCCGATCGCGCAGATTCGGCCCACGAGGCCCCTACTTTGCCACATTGAATGTAATTATATGTAATTTTTTTCTTAATCTCACTTAGGTGACAATTTTATTTGAGAAAAGAAAGAATAATTACTCGGGCAAGACTTGTTCGCTAGTTAGCCTACGACTGAACCCCCAAAAAAACCCTATGATTGAACCTGTTGCAGTGGCTCTTCTTCTCCCCGTAAAAATGAACGTCGTATTGGAGAGAGAAAGGAAAAAAGATAATGAGTGCACTTGTCGCTGTGGAAACTCCGCGGTTTTGGTACAACCTAGAAAGCCGATAAGAAGTAGAACCAAGAAAATAGAAAATAAATTGGTAGAGAAAATAACCCAAAAAATTAAGTTGAATATGTATAAAAATGGAAATGTTATTTAGTTGATGTCAGTTTGTTCGCCCCTCCTAGCAAACACGTTGGTTGCTGTTAGATCTCCTGACACAAATCACAACACAAGGTTGGTGTCATACAGCAATGTGTGTGGTTACACTTGCTATATGTGATTAAATTTTGGGACAAAAAATTATAGAAATTCTGGAATTTTCATATCTTTGAAAGAACAATAATCACTAAATTTCCCATGTGCGCACTACAAATCCCAAAAGTTGCCATATTTTTTAGAAATCAAAATTTTCTAAACTTGCCATGTGTAATTTTATATTTTTTATCACATAAAAAATTCAAATGTTGCCATGTTTTTTAGAGTAAAAAAATTCTAAGTTTCCCATGTGCAATTTTAATATAGATAGCAGGTCAATTTCATAATTTAAATCATGGCACACTTTGAATTAGTCCATGGCAATTTTGTTAGTTACATCATGGTAGTTATGTTGTAGGTGCCATGGCGATTTAGTTATCTAGACCACGGTAATTTTTTGTAGGTAGCATGGCAATTTAGACAATGGTGGTTTTTTGTAGGTAGCATGGAAAATACATTATTTTTTACCATGCCAATTTTTTCAGCTAGGCCATGGATATTTTATTAATTATACGTTGGCAAATTTTTGTATTTTTACACACACAAAATTATCTTTGAAGCATGGCAAATATATTGGACTTATCTAGATAAAACATTTTTCCTATTGAAGTTGCCATTGGACCAATTATATTGTTTTACAAATTAGAGCATGGTAATTTTTATTTTTTGTAGATACAATGCCACTTTTTTTTTAATATGGTTAAATTTAGAATTAGAGGATGGTAGTTTTATAAAGTATAGCATGACAATTGTAAATTTATGTTTCTCTGCTTTTTCGGTATCAGTTTTTTTTTGTTGATGCCATTTTCTTTGGCAAAAAGTACTACATTGGGCCTAGCCTGTTCTTTCCCTCACGCTTAATAGGCCAAGTGGGTCTCGCTGAAATCGCACTACAGCCAATGAACTAGGGATGGCACCCGCAGGGTATGGGTACGGGTGGAGCCTCCCCATACCCTTACCCGTCCATCCTGAACTTACCTATCACCCATATCCATACCCGTCAAGGGTACAACTTTTTCCCATATCCGTCACCCGTCAGGGTATATGGGTACCCGCGGGTACAAATACCCGCATTTACAACACAACAAATTAAGTAGAAAATAGTTGTGAAAAACAACATATAATCATAAATTATTAATAGCAACACATTTTAAACAACAATGTACAAAAGCACATTCTCAAAACCAAAACAAAAAACTTGCCGTAAAGCAACCCATTAAACAACAACACATAATCATAAATAAGAACACATAATCATACACTTTAAGTTCACAAAATCACGATAAATTATAGAGATAATTTGACTGCACATTAGAGTTTTTACCTACTGCAATTCGTGGTGGTGGGGGGAGGGGGGGGGGGATACGTTAGAATATTATATATAAAGGAAATCCACTTGTCAACATTTTAGATGGGTACATGGGTACGTGGGCATGGGTTATACGATCTCATACCCGTACCCTCTCTACCCGATGGGTATGATAATTTTCCATTTAAGTATCCATGGGTAAATTTTTGTCCCATACCCTTACCCTAATAGGGTTTTTACCCGCAGGGTACGCGGGTAATGGGTACCCATTGCCATTCCTACAATGAACCTTCCCCAGGCAAACGTTTCGTTTGCCCCGTGGTGCCATCACGAGCTATTGGGGTCCCAAAAAAATACGATTCAACCGCTCATCATAAGCCTTTTCCACATAAAGAAACAACCTAGGGGTGCGGGAGCTTCCATCTGGACTTGCGGGCGCGGCGACCTAGGGTGCGGGGTTTCGTGGCGGGCGCTGGCCGGGGGCTGGCGGCGCTTGGATGCTCTAGATGCTGCGGTGGAGGGTGATTCCTCTTCCCAGATCTCGGGGCCTGGTCACGGCCGGTGGTGTCCCGGTCCGATGCGCATCAGGCATGCGGCGGCAGGACTTGGCGGCCAGCGAGGGCTGGATCCCGGGGCGGCCCCCGGACGTCGGAGGACTGTGTCGGCGGTTGTGGACTCGTGATGGGCGACGCGGCGGCCGCGATGGTGGACGATCTGTGCATAAGACGTTTGATGGAGGCCATTGGAACAGATCTGGGTGAAGACCTGCTCGCGGCTGCTACCGAGGCCGGCGATGGCGACACTATTCGGTGTCGTTCCCTTGTTGAAGGCATCGCTGTTGAGAAGTTCCAGGCCACTATCTGCTACCTCCGGGAAAAATCCTAGATCAGTAGATCGAATGACGGCGGCATTATTGTGTCGTTTCCCTCTTGTGGCGTCATTCTTGGAGGTGTACATGGGCTCGAGGGACTAGTGGACGGAATAATTGGTGGAGCGGTGATTCATCCTACACATTAATGGTGGCGACTCTCGGCGGCATAGCGCAATGGAGACTCGGCGCCTGATGTGTGGCATGGGACTCGCGTAGGAGGGTGACGTTATCAGGCGTCGTGGTGGCGTCAATGGCAGAGAGGCCGGGCAAGGTGGTGCAGCAGTACATCACTAAAGATGGTTTGGTGGCAGGTGGCTACGGCGACCTCATACCCGACAGGCGTCCTGGTTGAGGAGTGCGCCCGACTGGTAGGTGCCCCATACCCGAATGGGGCACAGGACCAAACACACAGGGGGAGGAGGGGGGAAGGGGGTTGAGACAGCCGGGGCGCGTTACCGGCGGGAGAGCTCGATGATGCGGGAGCGCTTGGCGAGGGAGACGTCGCCGACGCCGAGGACGGCGAGGATGCCGCACATGGTGGCGGCCGGCGGGACCTGCTGCGCACCGACGAGGTATGAAGGTGATTTGACTAATCGCTGGGCTGAATGGACAGAAACAGGAAACAAGGTCGTACCTCACGCCTCGGTGGCCAGACGCCACGGGCGAACGGGGCGGGGACGGCGATGCCCGACGAGGACGGACGGGCGACGGCGCCGCAGGCGCAGGTGGTGGTGGGGGGTCAGGTACGACGTTCTACGGCGGCTCGGTGGTGGTAGAGCAGCAGGGAGGGGGCTAGGAGAGATGCGCGTTTGGGGTTCGTAGCGGGCCAGGCCGATCGCGCAGATTCGGCCCACGAGGCCCCTACTTTGCCACATTGAATGTAATTATATGTAATTTTTTTCTTAATCTCACTTAGGTGACAATTTTATTTGAGAAAAGAAAGAATAATTACTCGGGCAAGACTTGTTCGATAGTTAGCCTACGACTGAACCCCAAAAAAAACCCTATGATTGAACCTGTTGCAGTGGCTCTTCTTCTCCCCGTAAAAATGAACGTCGTATTGGAGAGAGAAAGGAAAAAAGATAAATGGGTGCACTTGTCGCTGTGGAAACTCGGCGGTTTTGGTACGACCTAGAAAGCCGATAAGAAGTAGAACCAAGAAAATAGAAAATAAATTGGTAAAGAAAATAACCCAAAAAATTAAGTTGAATATGTATAAAAATGGAAATGTTATTTAGTTGATGTCAGTTTGTTCGCCCCTCCTAGCAAACACGTTGGTTGCTGTTAGATCTCCTGACACAAATCACAACACAAGGTTGGTGCCATACATCAATGTGTGTGGTTACACTTGCTATATGTGATTAAATTTTGGGACAAAAAATTCTAGAAATTCTGGAATTTTCATATCTTTGAAAGAACAATAATCACTAAATTTCCCATGTGCGCACTACAAATCCCAAAAGTTGCCATATTTTTTAGAAATCAAAATTTTCTAAACTTGCCATGTGTAATTTTATATTTTTTATCACATAAAAAAATTCAAATGTTGCCATGTTTTTTAGAGTAAAAAAATTCTAAGTTTCCCATGTGCAATTTTAATATAGATAGCAGGTCAATTTCATAATTTAAATCATGGCACACTTTGAATTAGTCCATGGCAATTTTGTTAGTTACATCATGGTAGTTATGTTGTAGGTGCCATGGCGATTTAGTTATCTAGGGGCTGTTTGGATTGTGCCCCATCTAGCCCCACCAATTTTTTGGTATGACCAATGTGAGGGCATGACCAAAATTTTGGTAAGTGATCATTGTTTGGATTGTAGCCGTCCATGTTTTGGCCCTTGCACTGTGGAGTAGCATGCTTGCATGCATTGTGAGGACCCACAGATTAAACTACAGCCAGCATGCAGCAGATACTAATAAAATAAAGGGATAGTTACCTGGGACCCAACGAGACAGAGAGTGCAGGGTGCGATGCCAAAATTTTGGCGGAGCTTTTCGCCGCCCTCAACTCGCCCGTGAGTTGGCTAAGTTTACATTGGCGTCTCGCGGGCGTGCTGGGCGTGCCAATTGTTTGGTAGTGATCCAAACGGGCACCAAATTTTACGGGCTTGCCAACTTTTTGGTCGGGCTGGTTTTGGTCGAGATCCAAACAGCCCCCTAGACCACGGTAATGTTTTGTAGGTAGCATGGCAATTTAGACAATGGTGGTTTTTTGTTGGTAGAATGGAAAATACATTATTTTTTACCATGCCAATTTTTTCAGCTAGGCCATGGATATTTTATTAATTATACGTTGGCAAATTTTTGTATTTTTTACACACACAAAATTATCTTCGAAGCATGGCAAATATATTGGACTTATCTAGATAAAACATTTTTCCTATTGAAGTTGCCATTGGACCAATTATATTGTTTTACAAATTAGAGCATTGTAATTTTTATTTTTTGTAGATACAATGCCACTTATTTTAATATGGTTAAATTTAGAATTAGAGGATGGTAGTTTTATAAAGTATAGCATGACAATTGTAAATTTATGTTTCTCTGCTTTTCCGGTATCAGTTTTTTTTGTTGATGCCATTTTCTTTTGCAAAAAGTACTACATTGGGCCTAGCCCGTTCTTTCCCTCACGCTTAATAGGCCAAGTGGGTCTCGCTGAAATCGCACTACAGCCAATGAACTAGGGATGGCACCCGCAGGGTATGGGTACGGGTGGAGCCTCCCCATACCCTTACCCGTCCATCCTGAACTTACCTATCACCCATACCCATACCCGTCAAGGGTACAACTTTTTCCCATATCCATCACCCGTCAGGGTATATGGGTACCCGCGGGTAAAAATACCCGCATTTACAACACAACAAATTGAGTAGAAAATAGTTGTGAAAAACAACATATAATCATAAATTATTAATAGCAACACATTTTAAACAACAATGTACAAAAGCACATTCTCAAAACCAAAACAAAAAACTTGCCGTAAAGCAACCCATTAAACAACAACACATAATCATAAATAAGAACACATAATCATACACTTTAAGTTCACAAAATCACGATAAATTATAGAGATAATTTGACTGCACATTAGAGTTTTTACCTACTGCAATTGGTGGTGGTGGGGGGAGGGGGGGGGGATACGTTAGAATATTATATATAAAGGAAATCCACTTGTCAACATTTTAGATGGGTACATGGGTACGTGGGCATGGGTTATACGATCTCATACTCGTACCCTCTCTACCCGATGGGTATGATAATTTTCCATTTAAGTACCCATGGGTAAATTTTTGTCCCATACCCTTACCCTAATAGGGTTTTTACCCGCAGGGTACGCGGGTAATGGGTACTCATTGCCATCCCTACAATGAACCTTCCCCAGGAAAACGTTTCGTTTGCCCCGTGGTGCCTTCACGAGCTATTGGGGTCCTAAAAAAATACGATTCAACCGCTCATCATAAGCCTTTTCCACATAAAGAAACAACCTAGGGGTGCGGGAGCTTCCATCTGGACTTGCGGGTGCGGCAACCTAGGGTGCGGGGTTTCGTGGCGGGCGCTGGCCGGGGGCTGGCGGCGCTTGGATGCTCTAGATGCTGCGGTGGAGGGTGATTCCTCTTCCCAGATCTCGGGGCCTGGTCACGGCCGGCGGTGTCCCGGTCCGATGCGCATCAGGCATGCGGCGGCAGGACTTGGCGGCCAGCGAGGGCTGGATCCCGGGGCGGCGGCCCTGGACGTCGGAGGACTGTGTCGGCGGTTGTGGACTCGTGACGGGCGACGCGGCGGCCGCGGTGGTGGACGATCCGTGCATAAGACGTTTGATGGAGGCCATTGGAACAGATCTGGGTGAAGACCTGCTCGCGGCTGCTACCGAGGCCGACGATGGCGACACTATTCGGTGTCGTTCCCTTGTTGAAGGCATCGCTGTTGAGAAGTTCCAGGCCACTATCTGCTACCTCCGGAGAAAATCCTAGATCAGTAGATCGGATGACGGCGGCATTATTGTGTCGTTTCCCTCTTGTGGCGTCATTCTTGGAGGTGTACATGGGCTCGAGGGACTAGTGGACGGAATAATTGGTGGAGCGGTGATTCATCCTACACATTAATGGTGGCGACTCTCGGCGGCGTGGCGCAGTGGAGACTCGGCTCCTGATGTGTGGCATGGGACTCGCGCAGGAGGGTGACGTTATCAGGCGTCGTGATGGCGTCAATGGCAGAGAGGCCGGGCAAGGTGGTGCAGCAGTACATCACTAAAGATGGTTTGGTGGCAGGTGGCTACGGCGGCCTCATACCCGGCAGGCGTCCTGGTTGAGGAGTGCGCCCGACTGGTAGGTGCCCATACCCAATGG